TAATTACTGATTAATTAATCGTGAAAATAATTAATTAATTAAATCCATAAAATTAATTTTGAGCAAATAATATATGATATTATGTGCGGTTGCGCAGAGAATTCCACCAAAAATGCCAGTGAGGAGGATGAGCAGTTATTATGATGATGCGAAAGAGAAAATTATGAGGAATGTTAGCAGGAAAGGGGTTTTGCAGACGTGGCACCAGAGCGGGCGGCGTTGTCCGCACGGCACCGTTCCGATACGGCGGAGCACCGTACACGACGTCCTGAGGGCCAAATCTATCTACGATTTTGGGAAGAAAAAGTCGAAATACGCCACCGTGAATACCGCCGCCGACGCCCACCGCCAACGGAATGCCCCCGACGTCGTTAGTGGCAACGGCCATGAGGTATGTATGTATGTATGTAAAATCTCTCATATCATATGCACATGACACGTGTTTGTGTGCAAGTGTGGAAACTTTAACTATAACTTTCATTTTTGTCGGTTTGACTTTGAGGTGTTGGAATTTTGTTAAGGAAAAAAAAAAAAGAATAATGTAATTAGGAACTGAATTGAATTGAATTGAATTGAGGGTTAATATGTTCAAGCAATGTTTTAAATATTGTATTACTGGTAATATCGATACGGGATACTGATGGTCCGATTGGTAAAAGTACTTTTTAAATATTGTTTTGGCTAAAATATCGTTTTATTTCAGCTTCATATAAAATACATGTAAATATAGAGGTTTTACCGGCCAAATTATACTGGTTAAAATATTGGGTATACCGGTGTTTATTATAAAAATATATTTTTATTTAGGTATTTATATAAATTGTTAGTTCTACATTTAATTTTAATATGTTTTCATTGTTATTAGATTTTATTTAATTTTAATATGTATTAAAGTTAGATTTATGCGTTATTTATATTATAAAATAAATAAATTTAATATTTATTGAAACTGGTAAGATAGATGGTAAAATCGGTTGAATCGACTAAACAGCATACTGGTGGCTCGTCCCAAATGATTACGTATTTAAAACATTGTGTTCAAGCTTATTTGATAAAATAGCATATATATAGGGCTAAAAGTCACATTTCATATGAAAAGGAGTGTTATTTATATTTATAAGAAATGTATGTTATTATTCTTTTTTAAGAAGAATGCATTCCTATGTCATGATTTCATTCAAATTGTGGCAACATTATATCATATATGCCATATTATATATAAATTCATGCCCAAGAACATGAAAATAAAATTAGCTAGTGATGCATTACACATGTATGATGATTAATTAGTTAAATGAGTTATATATTTATATTTGTGTCTAAATAAATAAATAAATGGAATTGGTTTTATTTTTGAAAAAAAAAAAAAAAAAATTGGAAGCACGCAATAGCATACACGAGAGGAGCATCTGGAGAGCTGTACGGGGCAAAAGCGACAATTAACGTGTGGGACCCATCCATAGAAATGGTGAACGAGTTCAGCCTCTCCCAAATCTGGGTTCTCTCCGGTTCATTTGACGGTTCTGACCTCAATAGCATTGAAGCTGGTTGGCAGGTAATATGCTATTTATGTTTGTGTTTATGTATTTTTATTTTTATATATATATATCTACGGAAGATACTAAGGTCTTTGTTGCGGAACCATTCTGTCGAAATTTGTAACCGTTAGATCAACTATCTCCGACAGTTACATGATAATCTAACGGTTACAAGTCCCGATATTATGGAGTTGAATTCTGAAGGAACCTTAGCATTTCCCTATATATATTGAAGTTGAATAATTCTGAAGCTTGTACTAGTCAGGTTAGTCCGGAGCTGTATGGTGACAGCAGGCCAAGATTATTCACTTATTGGACGGTTAGTTAATCTCACTTCTAATAATTATTTCTCCCTTTTTAATAATATTATTGAATTACAAAAATGATTGCATTTACAAAATATTATTAATTTTAAGACCTTCATTGCTTTTCACATATACCATGCTCAATTTCTTCTATGGAATATATTCAAATATTTGCTTTCATTCTTTTTTTTTTCTTGGTTAACAATGATATCCTCACATTTTGAAACTTACTTCTTGCATTAGATGTTGACTTTTAACTAACATTTAAATGTCAAATTGTTTATTCCACCTCGAGTTTTTAGTTATTAATATAGTTATCATTGCGAAAAAAAAAAAGAGTGTTTATTTCACTAATTATAAGTAGTCTAAGTTCATCGAGTAATTGATTAGCTAACTAGTTAGGGCATGCTTGTTTATCAGTTATTTCTCAAAATCTAATTTAATTTTAATTCAACTTCACTATCTTTAATAATATTCATGTAATTAAACAATACAAACCATTCATTTTTACACATCACATCAACTTTAATTCACTATTCATTCACTCACATAATTCTATCTACCTATCATTCTCGCTCATTTATCTCCTACTTTAACATCAAATAAATTTTAATCATTTTATTTTAAATAATAATTTAATACATTTTTAAAATCCACTAACAACTAACTATACCACATTTTTTTTTCAAAATTAACTCTGATTAACAAAAATAACTCATTTTGGGCGAATTATTTGGTAAACAAACGAGCCCTTAATAATACAATGCATTTCTCCACAATTTTCATGGTGAAAGAAGTGAAATCAACATTCCTTTGACTTTAGCAACCTTAATTTACATTCAAAAAATTATGTTTTGGTCTAGAGGACAATAAATTTTTTATTAATGATCCATATATTGTAGGTCAAACCCAATTAAATATAATTTCCTCCTATCACATCTTCAAATTAAATATAATATTAGTATCCCTAGGTATCTCAATTTCTTATATTTATTAAAAAGTAGCTGGATATCCAAGTTATCTCTATTTTACCACAACTTAAGAGATTTCTTTGTGCTAAAGTCAATGAAAATTATTGTTTTGGTCAAGTTCTTTTGGATCTAGCATTAAAAAAAAAAAAAAATCGTGTATCCTTGCAACTGCAAATCAAGGGAACGAATTAGGGTATGATGAACCATGCAAGAAAAAGTAAGGAGATTATCTTGTTGATTGGTTCTGAAAAAAGTGGAAAAAAATTGTTATGATGGAATTTCCTAGGACGAGGTGTTATGATGTGATTTTATCTTCACTCTTTCCCCATTGTACTACATCCCCTCAACCTAGAAAACCCCATCATAAAAAATTCTATCATAACAATTTTTTTTTTTTTTTATTTCTATGTTTCAGAATCAAGCAACAAGGTAATCTCCTTACTTTTTTTTCGTCTGGTTCATCATACCCTAACTCGTTCCCTTGATTTGGAGTTGCAAGAATGCACAATTTTTTTTTTTTTTAATGTTAGATCCTGAAACGTATAATTATCACGGAGTGCGCTTATTGGTGGTACGAACTGAAATAAGAACTGAATAATGCGGAAGCAATAAACCGAAGATTTTAAAAACTCTTCAGGGAAGCGTCCCACTTCCCCTCAGAGCTCTTTCATTGATAAACCGTTCACACTTGTATAGTTTGGACTTACACGACTCGAACTCCCTTCTAGTCTAGCCACAACTACACACGATCCTATCAATTACTTCTCCGGCCACGTCCCGTGGACTTCTAACTCTCGAATCCCTCGAGCTAACCACTGTACTTAATCCCTAAGTACTGATCACAAAAGTGTTTGAATGAAATAAAAAGAAACAAACTAAACAGCTTCAGTTCTTGGATACGTAAGAACCTTGAACTGAACTGTGAACAAAATAAAACCAAAAAGGCTTGAAGCTCGAATATTGAATGAAAGATAATTATCTCAGCCACATATTTTCGATCTTCAAGCAGGGTATATATACAACTCCTTAGGGTGGAGTCTTCTCCAAGTTCTTCCTTTCCTTTTAGGAGTCAATTTCCTTCTCAATAGATTGCTTTCTGATTTGGACGACATCCTTCATGTAAGGTAAGTTTCCTTGATGTATAAATCGTGCATGTGATTTGGAGATCTTCAGAATTGAACTTCCAATGGAAATCTTCCCTTCCAGAATCTGGTAAGAACATGACTTTCCAAAAATAGCCGATCTTCCAAATCTTCAAAGATCTTGTGGTGAATCTTTCCAAATCCTCCTTAGATCTTCTCATGAACGTCCAGATCTCTTCTTGTATGTAAAGCTCATCCATTCATAGTCCTTGCCACCTATTCCTTGTCCTACAAGCAAAAGAGAACTAATTATGGCATGTGGCATATATGGTAAGTAAATATATAAGATATATATTATGTAATCCTTCTCCTAAAGGATTAGGATTCCATAATACATACTACAATGAATATATACCATATATTATTAATAATAAATATTAGGAACTTAATTAAATCACAAGTAAATAAATAGAAAAACTTCCCTTTAATTTATTTTGCTTGCTTAACAAGAAATCTTCTAGAAAACACTTAGGTTTGTCGGACATGATGCCAAACCAATGTTCTTACAGATCCAAAAAAACTTGCTTCAATTTCAATTTCATATTACACTCCTTTGACTTTAGAAACTTAAGAGATTTCTTTGTGCTAAAGTCATTGAAAAATAATCATTGTGGCAATTAAATATATGGATTTTCCTCAATGCTCAAAGTAAATTATTCCGTGATGGTCGCAAACAGTAACACACTTAATTGAAAACTTAGTACTAATAATCTAAAAGACTATAATTGATATCACTTAAATCATATATCAAAGTGAAGTTTTCAACTAATTATAAGCTTCTCTATTTGAATTTTAGAGGGACAAAAGCACGTGAAATTTATATATATGTGCATTATTTTTCTTTTTTCTTTTTTGAAAGTTACTAGCACGAGAATGATAAAAAAAATAAATTTAAAAAAACAAAAATAAAATAAAAAAAGGTCGCCTATAAGTTATATCACGAGATCAAATTTTGACCTAATTGTGTTTGAACAAACAAGTTTATATACACAAACCGTGACAGTTAATAGTGTTCCCACATGGAAATTTATAGTCCCAAATACTGAATTTAAATTTTATTTATAAATTAAAAAAGGATATGGTGGGCAAGAGATTATATTTATTCTAGCTGTCCTAAATCTTTTTCACAAGTTGTACATATTTTTAAAATTAAAATGTCATAACATTTAATAATATGTCAAACTAGTAATCATCATGTGCATATACACGTACATAAAATATTATAAGTAATATATGAGAATATAATATTGAAATTATAAATAATGAATATATTTCATTATCAAAATTTGATCATAGAAAAACAAAAATAACAATTGTTTATTATCATTACATAATAACAGTTTGATTATTATTATTATTATTATTATTATTATTATTATTATTATTATTATTATTATTATTATTATTATTATACAAAAATATTTGTTTACAAGATTTTAAAGTTGTTTGACTATGCTATTAAAACTATTTACTAATTGTTTTTAAAGAAATTTTTTCATGAGATATAAAAAAAAAATTATATTGATGTTAAAATAAATAACTTAAAACAATTGTTTATAATTAAAACTTTATATTTATTGTGAATTATTATTAGTTGGTTTTAGCATTAATTATTACATAGTATAATAGAAAAATACATGATTACACTCCATAGAATGTATTAATGTGAGAAGTAAAAAAATATTGATGATAAATTTTGTAACCGAAAATGAAGGAAAATTTTTAGAGGTTTTATTTATGAGAATTTCATAAATGCCATTAATTATATATATATATATATATATATATATATATATATTGTGTCCATGCATGCATCTCAATTATTTTATGAAATGGAGGAAAAAAAAAATCCCAATTAAATTAGGTGAGTAATGAAGGCAATTTATTGGGAAAGGTTGAAAATTTCAATAATTGGGAGTGCATTAAATTCCCTTTACCATTCTTCTGCCTTTTGCATTCATTGAAATCTGTACCTTGATCTCCATATATATTAAATATCCAGTGTCAAAATGGTCTTTCTTGGAATGCATGGTTAGGCAAATGCATTAATGATCAACATTAATTTTGCAGTTGAGGTGTTTTTGTTTCGGGAAATGATATGATCCAGTTACGGTACCATCCCGTCAGGTGTTTTAACTATTGGATACACATGTAGTTAGTATAAAATAGATGATCCAACGATTAAAACGGAACTGTAGCAATTTTCTTTTGTTTCTCTTTTCTTTAATAAAAAATAAAGCAAATTGTGCATTGAGAATTGAATTTCCATGCATCATCATCTATGTGCAATGTTCATGTCTCTAATTTATTAGGAAAAAAAAGCCTTTACTTTGTGTTGTGATTATTTAGAGCGACACTTATCAAGAAACGGGCTGCTATAATCTTCTTTGCTCCGGATTCATACAAACGAATAGTCGAATCGCCATTGGAGCTGCCATCTCTCCCGTCTCGTCTATCGGAGAAAATCAATACGACATTAGTATACTCATATGGAAGGTTCGACCGATATCGACATCTTATGTTGTTCCATTTATTCAAAATATTTGTTTCTAGCTAGTTTTTTTTTTATGTTAAATTTGAACTTGATCTTGTGAAACCCGGCTTGCATATAATTATGACAAAATAGGATCCCAAGCTGGGAAATTGGTGGATGGGCTTTGGTGAAGGCACGTTAGTGGGCTACTGGCCCACCGAGATTTTCACAAACTTAAAGGACCGGGCCACCATGGTGGAGTGGGGCGGCGAGGTAGTAAACTCGCGGGCCGACGGCATGCACACTACCACACAAATGGGCTCGGGCCAGTTCGCTGAAAGTGGGTTTGCTAACGCGAGCTACTTCAGAAATTTGGAGCTCGTTGATATGGACAATAACTTGGTCGCGGCCCAAGAGATATCGACCCTAGCCGAAAACCCAGACTGTTACGACATCAAGAGCTACAACAACAACGAGTGGGGCACATATTTTTACTACGGTGGGCCTGGGAGAAACCCAAAATGTCCGTAAACTATATATGGGCTTGATCCAACAAAAAAAAGCCCAAAGTGCTGATTTCTTGATTTCTTCTATTTTTAGTTGTTAAGAGTGTAGGATTGGGGCTATTTCCAACCATGTTTAAGTGCTGATTGACTCCACGTTAGTTTTTGAGGTTTTGTCAAATGTTCGAGAAAATATGATATTGTGTTTTGTATGAGCATCAAACAGGTAAGGAAATAGCTCAATTGTATTGCAAAAAGTAAATGTTTAGTTGTGCAAAATGTAATTCCTCGTTTTGTACTGTTTTTTTCTCTTGGCTGAGGTTTTATCCTATTGGATTGTCTTAACAAGATTTTAAATGTGACAACATGGACGATATATTTATATAAATTTTTGTCCCGTTGATTTTTTTTTTTTTAATAAGGTTTTAACGAGTCATATTTATGGTTCAATGATGATTTTGAATGAAAACAATGGATTAGTTGTACGTTCCTTTATTTTGATGAGGCATCACGCAAATAAAAGGATGACTCGTTTAGGAAGAGCAGTTTTATGCTTCCGCAACTCTCAAGCTTTGACCCATTGTTTTTGGAATAATGCTATATTGACAACCTAGTGTACAACTAGATTGACAATACAAGTAGAAACATCCACTTGTGTATTTATTTTTTATTTTTTTTATTATGTTGTCAACCTAATTGTACACTAGATTGTCTATGTATTATTTTTCTTATTTTTGCGGACAAGTTACATTCACCGATGACCACAAACAGCACTACGAGATCTTCAGAAGTTTTTATGACATTCTTCCGAGATTTCATATATGTTTTAAAAATAGTCATTCAATTAAAAGTGTTAATAAACATCTAAACCACCTACTACAATGTTTATTTCATATGATGTCCATGATTATGTGCTTCTTATATAATTATAGATTTTACGATTGTGTCATCTGAAATTTTCTATAAACAAGTGTATTATTATTTATAATAAAAATCACACCAAATTAAATTATCTCTATCATGTCTCTATTTGCCTAGTTTTATCATAATGATTTAGAGAAATGTTACAGTCCGGTTGCGGAATCATTCCGTTTAGATTTATAATCGATAAATCATCATGTAAGTGTAGTGGATAATTGATCGAACCATTACAAAACCACAAAAAGCGAAGTGTCGTCTCCCAAAACCCTGTCGACGCTAAAAGAAAAACCCACAACACACAGAGCAGCAAAATCCCTTTCGGCCTCAAACAATCAAACTCGACTGAACGAAAGGGCTTTCATTTACTTCCCAACAGATTCGATTACTGTACACGATTAAGGTGATAGAAAATGAAGGAAAGAGAAGAAGAAAATTTTGTGACGCCCGGCGAAGTATTGGGAAAATCGTCGGAGTTGAAACCTGGAAAAGGCGCTTATGTTTCGGACAACACCGTCTACTCTTCACTCACCGGATTCCGATCCCTTTCGTCTCCGGCGACGGACTCAGACGACCCGGTAACTTTGATTTTTAAGCGAAGAGAAAATGAACTTCAATTGGTGACTTTCTTGTTGATTTTGATCGGAAAGGTTCATGTTTGTTTTCTCTTAATCCCTTTTTTGGGGTAAGTTTGAATTTCATATTGTAAATTTGTTTTTTTGGGCGATTTTTATGTTGCTGTTAGAGGCCCACGGTGGAGGTGAATGGTCACAAGGCACACGGTCCAGTTCCAGAACCTGCTGCCATTGTCCTTGCAAGAGTAAGATTCTTCTATTTCTCAATGAATTTGTGGGAAGTATTATAAATCCATTGTCTAGCTTGCTTGGTGGTGATGAATCTAAACGAAGAGTCGTAAAATGATGGGATAAACAATGGATTTCAAATGAATAGATTTGAGGAGTCCTTTGAAATCCTCCCAACTTCTATTGTCGCCCGAACATGCATAGGGGCTTGAACTTGTAAATTTGAAATCTAGAGATTTCGAATACCTCAATTAATTCCTCAATCCAGACGTACCCTTAGATTCTTCATATTGTTTTGTATTTTAAACTAATTTTGAGCTATGTTGGGTGCGTTTCAGTCGTTTTTTACCAGTGTGAAACAGCATGCTGAAATTCCCTTGATTGTTATTTGCTTGTTTTATGGAATTTTGGATTGACTGCGACTGAGTGATTAGCTCAACTAGTCCTCTCTTACAGTTGAGCATAAAATCCTTCCTTATTGCGGCTTCCCTATTCTGTAACTTATCATAAGATGCTGTATATTCATGCAGGTTGGCTAATTCAGTTGTCTTGTGGGGGGTTTCAAAATGAAGTGTTTTTTTTTTTCTTTGTTCTTTTCATTATGACAGGTGACGAAAGTGATGGCTAAAATGGCTTCAGCTGATATAATATGTGTAGGTCCAAAGTCAGTACGAGAAAAATTTACGGGCATTATCAGGTATGCAAGATATTGTCAGTTTTCATGGTGGTACTCAAAGAAAGAATTGAGATGAACATAAAAAGTTGGCTATGGACACAAACAAATAATGGTAGCTTTATCTCTGAAAGAGGCAAATTTTCACTCTCCACTAGGCAATTTGGAGTTTGGTTGAGTCTTAACATGGTTTTTTTTGTCTTTTTTTTTTTTGGTCTCTCCCTCGATTTCTAACGATGTTTGGGGTCAGTGAATTCTATTATTGCACAGATGCTTATCATAAAGCTTTGCTATATGACAGGCAGCAAGATGTTAGAGCAACGGAAATTGACAAAGTAGAAATGCATGCCTCCTTTCGACCGGGGGACATTGTCAGAGCTTTGGTTGTATCCTACATTGCTTAAAGTATAATATTCACTTTCTATTTGTTCATATGTTTTTCCCTTTTACCAGTTAACATCCTCGAATTTGGTAAGCTTTGGTTGGATAAAATTATATTGGTGTAGCTTGAGCTTCCCAGTCAAATGGGATGAATTTTTCCCACAACCCCCTTGAGTTTTTTGTTCACTGGAATTTGTTTGCCTTAATGTTTCTATTTGAAAGCTATCCCTTGGTGATGCACGAGCTTACTATTTATCAACTGCCAAAAATGAACTCGGTGTTGTTTCGGCAGAAAGTGCGGCAGGTATTTATTTATTTCTTATTTTTTTATTTTGATGACGTTATCATTCGCAAGTAATATGATCATGCTGACATGTTACAGTTAAACTCTTCTGCTGTAGTTTGAATAACTTCTAAAATGTCTTAAAAGAAAAGGAACTGCTTTCTGGAAAGATGCTTTTATTCAAATTTTAAAGTGTCAGGATAAAGGTTTGTCAATATGAGTCACATGATTTGTGCAAAGAACTTCTTTCACGTTGACGTGGTTATATGTTGGGTTGTTTTTCTCAAAAGATACTGGCGATGTAGAAAGATTCCAGGAAGATTTTAAATGATGTTTACTTATAAGGGGTGATAATAGTACCCTAGATATTTGACCTAATTACAAAAAAGAACCGATTAGCCTTCTTACTACTGAAAGTAACCTTTAGGTAAGTGTTAAAGTTAAGGAGCTAAGTGTAATATTCTTTGCAAATGTAGCATGGGGATTTTGAACTATTTTTTGCTTATGAAAGGGAGTAAATTGAAAAAAATAATAAAAAAACTAATATTATTCTGCCTGCATTGATTTTAATGGGACAGATAGTGATCGAAATGTGAAAACATCATGACCTAATTACAAAAAAAGAACTGGTTCAACTGCTTGACTTGTTCTTCGGGAGTTTCGTGATTATAATTGGTTTTTCATTTAGTTTCAATTGCTCAACTTTCGTTCACAGGACTATGCATTTTGCACTTTTTGTTCTTTTACAACCTCGTTGAAGTTAAAACTGCTTTAATGTGTTTTTAGGAACAACAATGATTCCTATAAGTTGGACAGAGATGCAGTGTCCTTCAACGGGTCAAATCGAGCTTAGGAAAGTTGCCAAGATTGGAGCCTCATGATCACATGTCGTTCTCAAATAGTTTTCGCCAAAAAGAAAGCCACTTCGCAGTAATAGGCCGAGAAGTAGTTGACCGTACGGTGATGACATCTTGGCCAAATATTGCTTCATGAAATGTTATTAATACATTGTGCTTGTTTTTTGTTGTGTCTGACTTGGTACTTTTTTATGTTGGGATAGTAAAAGTTCTATCGATTCAAGTATTGGATTGTTGATTTATAGGGAGACTAGTCCAATATTATGGATGCAGAGTTTCAAAATTTTGTTTTTCCTCTGCAAGAGAGGGAAAGAGAGAGGTGGCCAGTTGTCCATAAAAATTTGAAATTTAGACACAATAGATTGTGAATGTGATGGTGGCGTGTGCGATAAAAGCTCGTTCGAGCTTGTTCGTGTTCGATAAAAGCTCGTTCGTTTGTTAATCGAGCTGAGTTCGAATAGAAAAATAGGCTCGTTTAATAATCGAACACGAGTTCGTTCGTGAACGTTTGATTATGTTCGCGAACATTATTTTAATATAATTTCATTTTATTTTTATATATTTACATAATGTTCTTAATAAAAAATCTAAAATTTAATATCATTTAATTTATTTTTTATATATTTACATAATATTTTTAATAAAAATCTAAAATATAAAAATATTTTTATTTTATTATTTTATTTTCGAGTTCGAACGAACAAATTTTGAGTAAGGCTTATGTATTAAATTATTCGAACACGAACGAACTCAAACTTTGACGAACAATTAAACGAACAAACTCGAACACAATTTTTGCTCGAAAAATAAACGAACGAATACGAACACTATTCGAACGTAAATGAACACGAGCTCGAACAGCTCAAGCTCGGTTCGGTTCGGTTCGTTTACACTATTTATAATGACTAATGAGAGAAAAATATAATTAAGATAAGACTGACATATGGATCAGACCACGTGAACTAATAGAATTGACAGTTTGGGTATTTCGGCAGTACGAAGTACGAACGAGTAGCTCGGGTACTCGAACAGCCTAGTCGGACAGTCTTGGGTAACAAGGTAACACTCCTATATAAATAGGTGATGTATGACTATTTAGCTCGGACACCGAGCAACCTAGTCGGGCAGTCTTGGATATTCATGTAACACTCCTATATAAAGAGGTGATGTATGACTATTTACACTCTACGCACTCTAAGTATTCTATACTTACATATTTTATATACATCACATTTCTCAAACACTTACTTGAGCATTAGAACTTCTACGCCCGAACAACCCGAGACGCTGTTTTGCAGGTTTTTGAACCAATCGACAGTAGATTGAAAAGCGTTCAACAGATCGAGGTTAATTGATACTACCCGTATGAGTTCAATAGATCGAGGTTATTTGATTGTACCCGTATGATTTCATTAATTTTGGAGCCCAAGTATTTTGATTGAAATACCACTGCGCTCATTTAAAACTTTAAAATGATATTTTATTTATTTATTGTTTTTCAAATTTGAGTCTTTTTAATATTTTTTTAATTACTTTAATTGAGTCCTTAAAACTATTATATCTAGTGTGAGATTTTGTATATGTATTTTATTATTGAAATCTCATTACGTTTTACAATGCATACACAATTCAATTGAAATACAAATTGAAAACTCAATGTTTTTTTTCCAAAAAAACAAAAAAAAACTTATTAAAATTTCAAATGAATATTTCAAAATATTTAAATGTTTTAAAAAATTGTAATGAGTTAAATATTCCAAATTGATAAAATACTATTTTTTTTTTTTTTAGAAATTTGAGAATTATTCCTGCAAAATTTTTAATATTAGATTACAGCCTCCTTTATTTGCTCTGTCCGCCATGATTACGCCTGAAGCCGGACTGTAAACCATCGATCGATCAATGAAGATAAGTAGATTCACAGCATTACAAGAAACCTTATGGTTGTTTTGAAGCAAAATCTGTTATATTTCCTCAAAACCCTATCACCTCCCTCGCTCAATTTTCATCCAAAACCCTCGTCAACTCCTCCTACTCTTTACCGGTTTATCCCCTGCCTCCGATCTCACAAATCCGCTTCGAAATCCGGCTGTTCTACCGTAGTACCAATGTCATCGTCGGCGACGATAAAGTTGCCGGCGCCGCCGCTTATAGAAGATGGCCAAGGTAGCAGATTCTGGATCAAGTTCAGAAAGGAGTGGACACAAGCTCTGTATACCCCATTTATGGTCTGTTTGGCTGCCGGAAATCTGAAACTCGACTCATTTCGCCATTATATCGCGCAGGATGTTCATTTCCTTCGGGCCTTTGCGAAAGCGTTAGTGATCCTCGCGATTGTTTTCTTTTTTTCACTGTTTGATTTTCTTGGATATTAGTTTTGGTTTTGTTTCTGTTTCATCTGTTTAGAAAAATGTGGGACATGAGTCATTAGCGTAGTTTTCTTTTCTTATTATCTTCTTTTTTTTCTTGGATTTTAGTGAATTAATGCGAACATGGAAACCCTATTGAGTTTCCATGTCGTTTTGCTCTGTTATTTGTAGAAATAATTGAATTAAGCTAAGTAATATTGAGGTAGGGATGCAGTTGGTATAGCACAAACAATATTGTACGCTGTTGTTGTCACGAGTAATTGTTATGCTGATTCCTGAGAGTGGTAAGGTTGTGGGGAAATGGATTTATAGTCAATCAGTTTCTTCAAATGAAAGTAAATGTTTTGCAAATGAAAGTAAATGTTTCCTTGCAAATGAAAGTAAATGTTTTGCATGTATTTCTCCAAGATATTAGATCTTTGATTTCTTTTTTTGCTTTTTATTGCTCAAATCAAGAGTCAGAAAGGTTGTCACTTCAGATTTTGCCGGCCGATTTTTTTCTTTTGTCCCAATATGCTATCTTCCCTTGCTGAATGCATTCTGTTTTTATCCTAATGTGCTTTGTTCCCCTTCTTTTAATTCTTTTCTGCAATCTTTATATTCCTTGTCAGCTAGTTCATTTTTCGCACTAATTCAAGTTGGGAAGTACATTGCATATTCAAATCCTGCAAACTGAGAAAAATTTAGGGTCCTCTGATTCTTTAAATGCTTGACGAAAGGCTAATTAGTCAGAAAAGTTACCACTTATCAAGTTATTGACTGTACCTTACTGCTGGATGCTATTGTTCTAATATATGCAAACCTAGGTTGGCATATGTTGAATTCTTATTTTTGGGAGTTTTTTTTGCAACTTCACCTTTTCCATTAATAAGTGGAACGAGTCTTTATATTTGTGGAAAAATTGTACATTAGGTATGAAATGGCTGAGGAATTTGCTGATGACGATGATGCAAAAGTTGGAATTTATGAACTGAGGAAAAGTGTTCTTGAAGAGCTGAAAATGCATGATTCATTTGTGCAAGTAAGTGTCATTAACATTGCAGACACATGCATCCTGTCTCTTCAAAGTATACTTTGCTTTGTTTGAAATGTTATTCTTTTATTAATTGAACTGTGCTGCTGTCATTTTTTGAGTGTACTCTTCGATTAATTTCAGTAAATTTGAATTGCTAAAAGAACAACAACTATTTGTGCGGTGGTCACTGTTAGCTTTGCCTCTTGTTTATTATGTTTTGGCGATGATAGTAGAAAATCACTAAACAATTGAATTAGCTCTTAGTCAATTTCACTAACTTGTAAATTGTTATTATAGATCAAAGACTGGATGGTTTTGAAAGAAAGAGTTTCTCGAACCTGTAGATTTTATAGCCTGGATTAAACTTGATGAAAATGAATGCATTTTATAGGCTCGTGGTCATCCTTCAAAACCTTCTTCGCATCTTAATCTGATGACCTCTATCTTTAGTCTTTGAACAAAGAAATAGACAATGAAGAAAGAGAACAAATTGGATGGAGCTGGTGTCATCAGTATGCTATATAATTAGGCGGCAGTACCACACCAGATTCCCCGCAATTCAACAGCATAAACTTGCTAGAGAAAAATCTTGTCTATTTTATGATTCTGAGCTATGGTTTCATTTTATGCTTGCATGTGTTGGTGTTGTGCTGTTCCAATTTTTATCTTGATTATGTCGGTGTTAAGAGGTAATATTTTATCTGAAGAGTTTCCTTCATTTACAGAAGAGATTCTGCATTTACTCTTGCTTCTGTCAGGTGGATGTGAGTTTTCCATTATGTAAAGTTAACATATTGAAATATGCAGGAGTGGGGTTTTGAGTTGCCTAAAGAAAATACTCCAAATGCTGCAACAGTTAAGTATACTGATTTTTTACTGGCGACAGCATCAGGAAAGGTTGAAGGAGTAAAAGCTCTGGGTAAACTAGATACTCCATTTGAAAAAACAAAATTGGCAGCATATACTCTTGGTGCTCTGACACCTTGTATGAGGCTTTATGCCTTCTTGGGGAAGGAGTTGCAGGCGTTTCTTGACCCTGTTGCAGGCATTCATCCATATAAAAAATGGATCGAAAATTATTCATCTGATTTTTTTCAGGTCCGTAACAAAAAAACACACTTAAGGCACATTGGTAATCAAAGTGTTTCCCC